TAAATTCATAAATAAGTTAAATAAATTGTACATTAAAAAATATAAATAAGTCAAATTTATTAAAATAATTTATAAAAAATTTAAATAAAAAACTACAATCTTTATAGCTTAAAGAATAAAATAAAAAAATATAAAGCAAAATGAAAATAATGAAATTCACATTCTTCTCTTACTAATAAAAGTAATTCAAAACTCCTAATTTCATCAGAAGTAATGCAACTTCAACATAATCAATAATCAATAGGGCAATTAATTAGACATTGCCACATATAAATCATGAATGCAATCAAAGATTTGCGTATTATTATCCTTACCTTTCTTAAATTATAATAAAACTATAATTTATCTCTGGGGATCTGTAGATTTCATGAATATGATTTTTAAAACTCTCCAATACACTTTCTGCTTCCTTTTGTCAAATTTTTAATACATCATATCATATATAGTTTTGCAAAAATTAAGAAATCCAACTTGTCAAAAATCCATACACCAAGGACATGGGAAGAATAATTGACAAAATAAAATCCAAATTTCATATTAAAATCTCACAAAGAATGACAATTTGATTTATTGTATATTACAGAAATCATATGCTATACAATTTGAAACTATAAATTAATTCCCACAAAGAAACTGAAATCAAAACCAACAATGATTATTGATGAACATGCAATTTAATGAAATTGATATATTTAAAGCCCAGAAGTGAAAGGCACGCCAGTCGCTGGAAGCTAGGGATTACCGACGATGAAATTGGCGACGGTGAACTTCGATCCATCGGTTGCGCTGGTCAGAACATGGTATCCCTTCCAATTGATCTTGTTTGCCGTGGATGAACCCCGTCCGGTGTTAGCATACTCTGCATAATACAGAGTGTCCAGGGCAAAATTACCATCCCATTCAAGCCAACCCACCGGAGCAATTGAACTACCCAGGACGGTTTTCATGAACACCGTCCGGGAATACTTCTGCCAGGGTCTTCCCAGGTACGTTTTGACCGAGCTCTGGATCAATTTCAGATCAGAAGCCGCAGCGACCTGGGAGTTGTGGATTACAATTTCGGTGTTCTGGTTGGAGTTAGTTCTCGCTTGTGCGGTGATAGTGTTGATCTCGTTAGGTGGATTTCGCGCGTAAATGTTGCAGTTTTGGAGAACGGCGGTGGAGGAACGCGGAGGATTTGATATCTGGGGATCTGGATAACATAAGTTCTCGGCTTCAGCCCGGGCTTTACTGGCGGAGGAGGCGCGGACTCTGGCACCGGCCACAGCCTACAGCTACAACAACCGGTCGACGGTGACAAGCGAGACAAAGGTTGGGAGAACGAACGACGACGAGGGAGAGAGAGAGAGAGAGAGGAGGGTAAAAACGACATTTTGTTTTGAAGCCCCCCATAAAAATTAGGTTAAATGCTTAATTTGGTCCCTCAACTTTATGAAATGAACATTTTTGGTCCCTTAACAATTTTTTGCACTTTTTTGATCCCTCAACTTTAGGAAATGCACTCCGTTAGTCCTTCTGTTAATTTCGATCATTAACTCGCTTATGTGGTATTTTTTATAATTTTTTTGATGACGTGGCAAAAACAAATTGAAAACGTGTTGATGTGGATTTTTTTTTTCATGCCAACTCACATTATTACTAT